ACATAGTTCAGATCAGACTTGATTTGGCTGAGATCTACATCTTTTTATTTCTCAAAAAAAATTCTGGTTTTTTTTGTTTTACACTGTATATAAAAATTTAAAACAAAAAATATTTTATAATTTAATAATTTTTTATCAATTTATTAAATTCTAAATTATTTAATAACAAATCTTTTTTAAATTATTATCTGATTTACTAATTTTATTTTATCTTCATGATAAATATTATTTTTTTTTATTATTATTTTTTTTTTATTTTATTTAATTATAATTAAATAATAAATAATTCTTACTTTCATCTCTAATTATTATATTTCATAATATTTAAATAATTTATAAATTAAAATAATATTAACATCATTTTATAAATCTATAATTTTTTTTAGTAATTATAAAATAAGATATTTATATTTTTTTTTCAATATTTTCTATCAATTTTCTTTTTTGATAATATAAGTTATACAAGTCTTCTATGATTTTATTTTATTAGTTACTTTTATTTAAACTTTATGTAACTTTTATACATATTTGTAAACTTCTGAATTATTTATTTATTGGATTAATAAATTATTAAAATGTATAGAATTATATTTTAAATAGAAAGAATACATGATAATTAAAAAATTTTTTTATCCTTTTAGGATTTAGATAAATATTTAAATATTTAATAGAATTCTTTTTAGTTTAGATATATATTTAATTAGAAAAGAATATCAAGTTAAGTTTAAAAATAAAATAATTAAATTTGATTTTAATAGTAATGATAAAAAAAACTTGGTATAGTGATACTTTCATAAGTATACTCTCCTTGAGACTATAATAAAAAAATAGCAAAATATATAATTAGAAAAGGTATATATTTATAGAAAATAAAATATTAAGAGCTCTTATGAGTTGGAACTGAAGCCTACTATGCATTTAGAGAGAATTTACATAGAATGTGCATTTATAGAGGATGCATTTATAGAGGTTTCACTGTAGTGAATTTTAAACATTCAAATTATAAATCATTTTATTATAACAATTTAACTCTAATTTTTCTCCTTTTTTAATTTATATATTAAGATTGAATAAAAGAATTTGTAATTCTATTTTTGTTTTTCTTATTAAATAATTAAATATATTTATATTATAAATAAAATCAATAATAATCAGAAAATTTGTTTCAAATTCATCAATTTATTTATAATTTAGTAATATTAATCATTATTAATTACTTATTATTGAAATTAGTGTTAACCATCTTTATAAGTCTAGTTATTTTAACTGGACTTAAACTATAAATCCAGTTACTGGAATTATAAATCCAATGATTCAATTTTATAAGTTCAATTAGTCTAATTTAATCTAGTTGACCAACACTGATTGAAATATATTCAGTTTTTTGCATTATCATTTTATTAAAATTTTTATTATTTTTATTAATAAAAATTCTATACTTAAAATAATTTTATAATAATTATTAAAGTATTTTTCTTTAATAAAAAATTATATTTTATTAATATTAATATATTTGATAGAAATTATATTATAAAGATATGATCATATCATTTGAAGGCTGATATAAATTACTCGTTATTCATTATATTAATATAGGCAATGCATTAAAGTATAAGAATACTTTTAAAATATTTAATCTTTTAGGATTATTAAAAACAAATCCATCATTTATTAAATAAAAGGAAGGAAAAAAAAAGTTAGAAAAAAGTATTAAGAATAAATAGGATAGAAGAGGAAAACTGTAATTACTAATAATGAATAGAAAAATAATAAATCTAAAAAAGAGGATTATAACAACTAACTAAAGAAGCTTCTTATATGTATAAAACTCACAAAATTTAATATTCATTAAAGAAATCTATACTGTAAAATACTCTTAGACTAGATAACAAATTTATGAAGAAAAATCTATCAATATTTATCAAATTATTAACTTAAATCTGATAACAAAAATATTTATAAAATGTATTTTAACTTTAAATATTATTAAAATCTTTGATTTACATAAAAATCTAAATCTCATTATTAAATAAAAACAGTTTAAAATAAAATAAACTAATATAAGTAAAGAAAGGGATTGTTAAAGAAAAAAAGCAAAAGATACTTTTCTTATAATAATAGCCAAATGCTATAATTCTAATATTATGAAAAGACTGATATAATTACTTTATTCATTAATTATAAATAACCAGTGATAAACCTTAAGAGACACATTATTAGAATGAAAATATAAAATAAAAATGAAGGAAAAAAGTTAGAGAAAGTACTAAGAATATATTTATAGAAGGGAATTATAATTACTAACAATGAATAGAATAATAAGATAAACCTAAGAAAGAAAATCATAACAGCTACCTAAAGTAGAAGTTACGTATGCAAAATTCAAAGGAATTTATACAATAATAACTTTTGGACTAGATTGAATTATTATTTATATTAACTATTTCAAATTCTTTCTCTTCTTTTTTATTTTTAATTTTTTAAAATTTTATCATTTTCTTATAATATACAGTCGGTCAATATTCTTTGAAATGAGTATTATTGGTATTATGTTGATCGTTAATTTTTATTACCAATGAACAAGTGTCATTTCGCGCTTAATAAATTTAAAAAAGAGTCGTGTTTCGAAATAATTAAATCATTTCAACAAATTTTAAAACTAACGATATGAATGCGAGTACAATATTTTTCGAGTTCAATTTCTTTTAAATTTTAAATAAAGAACGGAGTTGCATACATTTACGAAGGTTGAAGAAATTTATTAAATTTTATTGCTTGCTTTTATGAAAAAAAAAATAATCCAACAGCTAACATTTATTTATATTTATAAATAATCTATAAATTTTTTTTTTTAAAAAAAAAGTTAGATCAAGCTAAATAACCACAAATAGATAAATAAAAGGAAGAAAGACGTTCTCGCAAGTCTACTAGACTACTGCTGGTATTAATTCGCCCAAGACAATTTCTTACCTATTGTAACATCGCTTCATTATCAGCCTTATTTCGATAGGCACGTTGTTCCAAGTTTTGTGTTAAGAAATTCTTCCTTGATAACTTGTTGCTTTTCTTTTCGTTAAGCAAGGGACCCTTTGGCAGGGTTGTAACAATTCATATAAACAAGGTTTGATGGATAATTCCATCCCTTGCTGGCACAAAATATTTCCATATCTTTTAATGACTTGTTCAACTTTATTCATAGATCCGAGGTTAGCCTTTTGAACTTTCGGCATTGTGGAAATAATGCCAGAAGCGACGGGTACCTAAAAATAAATTAATAAAACAAATAAGTTGGCTGTATTCAAATAGATAAATAAAAAGGAAAAGAATGTTCTCGCTGAGCGATGCCACAAAACGCTTCCAGTTCTCCAAATATATTCACTAAATAATGGGCAATTATAATGGAAAAACAATTGACCAGCATGATAGAATAATTTCTTAAACGCTGCCAATTAAAGTTAAACAATTGACAATACAAATAGAGAAGGACGTTCTCGCACTTGTTTCGGGAGTAAACTCGCTAAATATATAGTTTTTGTAATAAAAAGAAAGACATAACCAATCCATTCTCTAGTATTAGTAGACCTTCACCCCAAAAAAAAAACATGCCTAGACAACCTACTAGAGGCCACGAAGAACTTCCAGTTCTCTATCTTATTGTTTTAAATTTACCCAAGTGAACTGACATTGACGCAAGTCTACTAAACTACCGCTGATATTAATTCGCCCATGACAATTTCTTACCATTAATAATAGTTCGTTCTTGAAATATTTTAATATATAGTCATATATAACTTTCCAGATGCGGTCGTCTTTCTTCACTATGACAAAAAGGTATATAAAAAAGGTAGAGAAAAGGTTGACGGGAAATAATTTTTTAACAATTTTTTTTTTTTTTTTTTTTTTACTAAACCGAGGGAATCAATAAAATTTTTTAAAACTTGGGGGTGTTCAATTTTGATGTAATTGGGGTAATGATTGGTGTAACAGATGAGCATTTAAGAATAACTACCCAAAAATTCAATGTAATATTTAGTCTTTCAGCTCCGCAAAACAGTTTCAATAAATGGCATCACAACGAACCAACTTCGAAATTCCTATAAACGATGAAAATGATGTTTTACAAATCACAGCGTTAGGTGCTGGTAATGAAGTGGGAAGGTCTTGTCTAGTTATACAGTACAAAGGAAAAACAATAATGGTATTAAATAGTCTTTGCATATAAGATAGTTTTTTTTTATTTCTTTATTTATAATTTATAATAAGTATAGCAAAGATATCTTTCAAATCAATGTGTATTATTTACATTAAAATCAAATAAATAAAGATATATAATTTTTTGCGATTATCATTAATAGCTTGATGCGGGTATCCACCCTGCATATACTGGATTGGCTGCACTTCCATTTTATGATGAAATTGATCCTGCTGCTGTTGATGCTTTGCTTATTAGTCAGTATGTCTTTGTTCGGTTTTAACTCAAAATTCTTTAGCAAATACGATGGATTTGTAATTAGCCCATTTGATTTGATTCATTTACAAAATTGAATTTTGTTCTTATTTAGTTTTCACTTGGATCATGCCGCTTCTTTGCCATACTTTTTGGAAAAGGTGTGATCCTTAATTTAAATTATTGATTTTAAAAACAAAAAGTTATTCATATATTTATATATATTTTCATCGAAAGACAACCTTTCAAGGACGAGTATTTATGACACATCCAACGAAGGCTATTTATAAATGGTTATTGTCTGACTTTGTAAGAGTAAGGTAATAATCCGAAAAATCTAAGACAATTAATTATAATTATTATATTGATTAATTTCAAACTTGATTTGAAAAATAGCAATGTTGCATTGGATGATATGCTCTACGATGAGCAAGATCTTTTGCGCAGTTATGATAAGATTGAAGCTGTAGATTATCATCAAGAAGTAGAATTTGAAGGAATAAAGTTCACAAGCTATAATGCGGGTCATGTTTTGGGTGCTGCTATGTTTCTGATTGAAATTGCGGGCGTTAAGGCATGTATGATCTTTAATTTATAATTTTACTTGTCATCAATTTAATTTTAATTTTTTTTTTTTTTTTTTTTTTTTTTGAAATTCTAAACTATAGATTTTGTATACTGGAGACTATTCTCGGGAAGAAGATAGACATTTGATGGCTGCCGAGCTTCCATCAGTCAGAATTGATGTGTTGATCACAGAATCTACATACGGAGTTCAGAGTCATGAACCTAGATTAGAAAAGGAATCTAGATTTACTGGTAACATTTCACTCATTGTAATCAAATCATCATTCAATCAAGAACCGAATCTGACTCATTTATAACATATTTTGAAGGTTTGGTTCATGACATTGTTCAACGTGGTGGTCGCTGCTTGATGCCGGTATTTGCGTTAGGCCGTGCCCAAGAGTTGCTCTTGATTCTCGATGAGTATTGGAAAGCGCATCCAGAATTAGAATCGGTGCCAATTTATTATGCTTCATCTCTAGCCAAAAAGTGTATAGCCGTTTATCAAACCTACATTAACATGATGAATGAAAAAATTCGAAAGCAATTTGCCATAAACAATCCTTTTATCTTTAATCATATCTCAAATCTTAAAAACATGGATGATTTTGATGATGTTGGGCCTTGTGTCATGATGGCTAGTCCTGGTATGCTACAGGTATGTGGTATTTCTTCATTCATATAATTTTAATTTTCAAACGATTACCTAAAGAATTTTTATTTAGAGTGGATTATCAAGAGAATTATTCGAAAGATGGTGTCCAGATAAACGAAATGGCCTTGTTATAACAGGATATTGTGTTGAAGGTACCTTGGCTCGGGTAATTACTTTGATTTGTTAAATAATTTATAATTCAACGATTTTCTTAAACATTAATTCGTTTTTTTTTTGGTTGTTAGCATGCCATGACTGAACCGCCAGAAATAGTTTCCATGTCCGGTGCTACTATTCCACTGAGAATGTCCGTTAATTATGTTTCTTTCTCGGCTCATGTTGATTTTATTCAGAATAGTCAATTTATTGATGAAATTAAAGCCCCTCATGTGGTATGTTGTTACTGATCTGAAAAAAAAATTTAAAACTGTTGATTAACTAAATAATAATAATTATATTTTTTAAAAGGTTCTTGTGCACGGAGAAACAAATTCTATGGCTAGATTGAAATCCGCATTACAGAGCAAGTTCGCCGAACGTGACGACAAAGTCAAGATTTACTCACCAAAAAATTGTGAACCCGTAAGATTGTATTTCAGAGGAGAAAAATTAGCCAAAGTAATTAGATGAATATAATTGCCACGTTATTTTTTAATGGTGTTGCTACCATTGTTACTTAAAACTAATTTTGTCGTAATAGGCTATAGGTCGCCTGGCCGCAAAGTATCCGATAGAAAATCAAATTGTGTCAGGAATCATAGTCTCCAAAGACTTTCAGTTTAATATTATGGATGCTAATGATCTCAAAGATTTTTGTGGTATCTCAACTTCGAAGATTATGCAAAAACCAACTATTGCATACAATTCTTCTTTTTCATTATTGAAATATCATCTTGAACAGATGTTCGGAACTCTAGAGGAAACTTTGGATAGTGAACATGTTCCAACTTTAACGGTAAGTTATGATTAAACTTTATTAAATTTTATCAATCAAAAAAAAAAAAAAAAATTAAACTTAAATTCGCACTTTAGATCTTAAACTCCATTGAAGTGAAGCACATTAGTAAGAGTCAACTTCGGCTAGAATGGTCAAGTACATCTATGAACGATAAGATCGCTGATTCTGTGATCGCGGTGATATTAAATATTGAGAACAGTCCTGCCTCAGTAAAAAGTAATTAATCAATCTTCTTAAACGTTGCAATCGATTATTTTGAACAATTGCTAACGTTTAAAATATTTTTTATATCATAAAAGTCACAAGTCATCCTCATCACACTCATGCCGAAGAAAATTACAATAACATGATGGTTGATGATAACATAAATTTTAACGAGAAAGATCCCAAAAATATAGAAAATTTGACAGATACAATTTCACAATCACGAATCTTTGCCGTCGTAAATTATTTGAAAAACCAATTCGGTGAAGCGATTAACAAAGAAAATTCTGAGAGTGAAATTATAGTCAAGGTTGATAATTCTTGTGCTGAAATCAATATTAATACTATGGTAAAATATTATTAAATATTTGCTTATCTATTTTGACTATTATTTACTTATTCATTCATTTATTATATTAACAGGAAATCAGGACAGAGGATAATTTATTACGGAACAGAATAACTAGAATGATGCCGCGTATCGCTAAAATTTTACTCCCTTTAGAAACCTGTACAGAGTAAAGAAAAAAAATGATAATTACCGATATTGGAAATAATTTTTTATATTTAATACTTATAATCAAATGATAAAAATGGTATACAATAAAATGCGATATTAAATAAGTTTAAACAACGGTTTCCTATTAGTCCCAATAAATTTTTTTTTTTATCTAATCAGAGATATGTGGAATTTATCCGTTTTATAAATATGCATTGTCAAAGAGGGCATTACATTTGATGTTCATTATTTCACTGCGCGAAGTACAAGTCAATTATTAATATGAACAGGTCCACTGAATACTTAAGATAATTTTTAATGTAAATATATTTCTTCTTTTACAGGATGTAATGATAAAGATCAAAGAGTTATTATAATGCCCTTACAATGATCGGTTATGAAAAATCAACAAAATTCGTGTTGCCCACTCCAAATAAGATAAGGCTTATTAAAAAGAAAAAGAAATAATGTTTACTATTATTCAATTTTTTAAACCCTTTACAGATATCAAAAGTTAGTATTTAATAAATCTAAAACCAAATACTAATTATAATTGTTATGATAAGATTAAGATTGAGCATCTGTTATACCAAATTGGTTAATGATCATTATCATAACTGATCTCAAAATAACCTAACCTGATATAGCCTTCCTTACCTGGTGACATATTGTGCACCGAGTAATAATTTCATATGTCAAGGATTAAATATAAGTTATTTGCTTATATATTTGTTTGTTTTCAATTCATAATTATAAAACAACCCTTGCATTTACTACACTTAGTGCTGCGTCACATTATCTTTTTTGTTAATATTTTATAATTGTTAAGGAATATAAAATCACTTGACGAAAAATTATCATGCCCTTTCACAGTCTAAAATTGACTTTTTGTAATTTGTACGTTGTATAACGATGTACAGACAGTTATGTCAATCCTGATCATTTCCAGTTTGGGCGTTTGACATTTAAAAATTTTTTTGGATCTTTTGTTGAGAAACTGATATATCTCAAATTTTCACCGAAAAAAATTTTTTTTTTTTCCTTCAAAAATATATGAGCGATTATTATTATTATTATTATTATTATTTGATAAATATCCCTTTTTTTTTTTCTTTCAAATGCATGCTTCTTATCCAAATTCTCCTATTGATGACGATGAACATTTTGAGTTCGTTGACTATACTGCAGCTTCACATTGGGAACGATTCATTACAACTGTCGAAGAAGTTTTAACAGGCTGGGGTGTAAATGATGGTCAACTTGGAATATTTGACGAGTCAAAGTTACCCCCTCTTGGTGATAAAATTTCTACTAAAATAGTCGGAGGCATTGATCCTTTTGTAAAAAGAGAGATAATAATTCTTGATGACACTTCTTATACTTTATCATATCATTATCACCCAATAAAACGGTGGAATGAATTTGCTATAAATCACTCTCCTATTTCAAGCGGTTCTACTTTGGAACCTCCTCCTCCACCACCAATTACAACCCTTTTTCCCCCAAATCCTGACACATTTTTACCGAGTTCAGAATTCCTTCCTATTTCTTTACCGAATACTTCACTGGAATCGACATCAATGAATTTAAGTAAGATTCATCGATGGACAGGTCTAACTCATATCTTGGTATTGTCTCCAACAGATATTTTTTCAACTGGAGCTACCTCAAAATCTACAAGTATAGATCTTAATACTACAAAGATGTTACTATCTTCATTTGCAATTGCGTTCCATAATACGAAATGCAAGCTTCCGGTTTATGTTCCGAATGGTCAAGTTGCAAATTCTTTATATGCTGGTTATATGTGTTTATTTAATAAAGAGGTGAAAAATGTTAATGATGCTAGTGAGGTTGAGATAAGATTCAATACTACATATGTTCGTGATGTCCCAGCTCGGTTTTCACATTTAACTGGTTTAACCGAACTCTTTACCGAAAAAATGGATTTAAATAAATGTCCTTTAGGTAAGTGTTAGTTTTTAATAATTTTAATTAATCTTTTTTGTTTTCACAGATATTACTTTCCATACATCAATTGGTTATGTAATTTGTTCTCAAGTTACCCATGAACCGTATTATGAAATTATGATATAAAATTCCAACCTAGATCTGACACACATATCGTTTTGATCGGATTCGGTTACACAGATCAAGTTGATGTGCCGGAATTAGACAAAATGCCTCACCTTGGAATTGCCGTAGCTGGGTTATTTAAATATGAATTGCAAAATTTGGATGATCAAGATTGGAAAAATCTCGATGAAAATGAATTGAATTCTACTCCATTGAATTTATTAAATAATAAGAAATCATCTTTTGAAGAAAATATCTTTAAAGAATTTGAAAACCATAGTGAAAGAACGTTTGGAAATGGAGAAGCAAAGGATTCTTCTAGATTTTCTCATTCCACCGTTGATCAATTTACCTCATCAATTGCCTCGGTACCAAATTTACCTTTTGGCCCACCAAATGATCCACTTCAGTCGTTATCTCTTACTGCTTTTTTTCCGTCTGCTCCGCGTGACACATATCTGGATAATGACGTGTATTCAGAAGTGGACGCTGTGCGAGCTCCAATTTGGATCCTAGCATGCAATTTTTATCCTGAACATCAGTTACATGCATTACTTTCCAGCATATTAGATGCAACTATAATTTCTTTGGATTGTAACGATGAAATTGCCGAAAAATCAAATAATTCAAAGGGCAATCTTCGTAATAAGAGTTTTAAAAAAGGTCAGATTACTGATATACCGGGAACATTCAAATCTTATGATTTAATTTCTTATGATACTGTACGATATGCTAGTTCGGCAGCTGGTGGAATTGTTGATATGGACGATGTAGATATTGACAACATTCTGAATGTTTTATTTCATCCCTTAAGTAATAAAATATTGTCAAATAATTATGATAATACATTGAATGGTATTCCCTTGTCAGCATCGTCCTTAGGACTTAATTTTCGCGATGCCAGAACTGTTCCCTATAAATCATTTTTATGGAACCTTCTTGAATGTTTGTTGGAAACTGTCTCTCCTATGACTAGTTCTAGGGGTACATTTTTAGGATCTTTGAAAATTTTATGGAACGAAATTATTAGAGAGATTCGTCGACATTGGGAACGAGTTGAACCATTGCCTGATGTGAACATTTATAATATGTCAGAAAATGAAAATGAATCATCTATTATTCATCAAAATGATTCCTTAACAATAGATGATAATAAAGTGAAGAATTCCACAGTTGAAAAAACTAATTTGAGAAATATTGGCATAGACATGAGATTTAATTTAATTCATCAAAAGTTGTGCATGATGAATTGTTGTATTGCACGCATGCGACAATATCAAAAATATAACCCTATTTTGTCCACAAGTCCAAGATCCAAAAAACATCGAGTTTCATCAAATAATTCTTTAGATTCTATGTCCAATAAAATAAATAAAAATTCACCGTTAGAACAAAAGCAAACTATAGATCCGTTTGTTCGTTTGTTTGACCATATAACGGGAGATGATGAAATTGCTACACCCGGAACTTCAGCTTCAATGGTTTTAGTTCCCCGGGTAAATTCAAACGGTGCTAGCAACTCTGAAGTCTGTACTTTGGCTGAAAAAGAAGTAAAATTTCCTAGTGTAAGGATTTAACGCTGCATCTTGTTTCTGGTTATTTTGTAAGAAACTGATGTGATGACTTAATATTTTGTATTCGGTTTATTAGCATAATCATTCGGCAAGTATTGACTATGTTCCAATGCCTAGTGTTGGGGAATTGGAAGAAGAATATTTTGATGCTATTGAAGAGGCAACGTCAACACCTTTAGGGATTCCAAGGGGCCAGAAAAATACGATTCGATCAGCCTCTCAACACCGTCGTTCACCATCTTCATTCTCTCATATACATTCTAATTCTCCGACAACTTCTTTATTTTCCGAGCAATCTGATCCAAATCCACATGCATCATCTTTATCGGAATCATTCATACAACTTAATTATTCATCTAGTATGGAATCAAATCAAGGGTTTGAATTTGCGGGTCGAAATACTCGTTCCGAAATGGGCAAAATATCTTTGAATGATGATAAGGAAGTTAAGGATGAAAATGAGAGAGAAGGAAATTTATACCATTTTAATAATCTTACGCTATTGAAAACTGGCAAGCCATTATGGGTGCCGGAAACTCAGGTAACAAATTAAACTTGATTTGAAACTTCTATCAATAAATGAATTAACTTAAAATGCTTTATAGGATATGGGATTTATGACCGAAGATATGGTACGTGAACAAGAGGAATTGTTCGAGAATTTAGGTTCTTCAGAGGATGCAGCTAAAATAAGAGCTCAATTACATTCTGCTCATTTGAAATCTGGTAAGTCATAATAAATAAATAAAAAAATATGTATATAAATTTTTAAACCAAATTTATAGTTATATATTTGAAATTTACATATAGATATGCAAGCCTTCAAAGCCGCAAATCCACATGCTGTATTAGAAGATTTCGTTCGATGGCATTCGCCACGTGATTGGATTGTTGATGAAGGTGGAGATCCGAACAAGGGAGCTCTTAGTTTACGGATGAAAGAGAAAGGAAATCTTTGGCAAGAATTGTGGAAGGTTATTATTCTTATCGCATGTTAATTTCTTTCTCATATAATTTAGAATTGAACTTAAGAATTTTATAATTTCAGTCATCAAAAAGAATTCCGGCAAGGCGACAGAAACCCTTGTTTAAGTTCACTCGTGAAGGAGAAAAAGTGCGATATATTTCTATAAATTGTATTCACTTTTCCCAAAATGTTTTCTAATAAGAAAGTTATTTATTAGGTACTTCACTATTTGGAAAATTTATCAGTTCAGGATTTGTTTAAACAGTAATTATAATATTATTTTATTTATTAATGATAATTAATTCGAACAATATATCCTAAAGATCATGTTATTACATTATTTAGACTTTTACCTACTATATTCCTTATTGCATATGACTCGTTAGTCTCTCAATCTGTTTCCAAAAATATTAAACCAATATCATCTGGTTTAACGGCTTTGGCACAAGAATTACTTGACTTTCCATGGAATGATGTAGGGTATGAAATATTTAAACAAATCGTAATGAGATTTTAATATGTTCAAATATATAACCAAACAAAAAAATTGAATATTATTCTTTAGAACTAAAAATATTGTATGTGACGGATTAATACAATCATTTAGGCAGAATGAAATGCTTATTGGTAAAGCAATTTCACTTTTGCGAAAGGTAATTAAATCATCACCGCAATTACTAGAAATAAATTAATTTGTATTTAATTTAACTTTATTACATTTTTAGTTACCAAATCAATATAATTTAGTAGAAAGATTATTAGAAATACCTGAAACAAAGGTTTTAGACGGAAAAGAACGTGAAACAGTTTATGACTTATTTGCTTCTGGAGGTAAATCAAATTAGATTATTATTAAATATCTCGTGAATTTTTAAAATTTAATCATTTTTTTTTTTTCTTTTAATAGCACCGCTAAATGATTCGTTTCCACATCCTACAACACGCGAATTTGTATTACAAACAACGTGTTTACGACCAACCCCAGTTCCAGCAAGGATGTATGTTTCATTGGATAATTCTGGAATGAGAATCGTAGATATGGTTGGAAAAGATACAGTATTTATGTAAAAATAAATAAACAAACTATATAATATATAAATAATATTATTCCCCCACAAAAGTAGTATATTTAATAAGATTTTTTTATATATAATGTTTTATGTTTTATATTTTATAAATATGGAGGGAAAAATTATAGATATCGGATTAAAGATAATTATTAATACAGGTTTATTATTTTGAAAATAAATCGTAACAAAAAAAATTTAGTATATTTTATTGTGAAAATTTTATATCTGAATTAATATAATTTTTTGTATCATTACAAATTTTATAATATTATGAGCGATTCTCGCTTGATTTATGCTATTGTATTTTTTTACTTTTGATTTTGTTTGGCTTAATTCTTTATGTAATTAAAATAATTATGAAATGGAATTAAAATTTTGATTTAAAAAATCTGCATATTTAAAATCTATATATATATTTCTTTTCCTGTTATATTTTAGAAAATTTTAAAATTCTTCTTTTTAATAAATTCAGCTTATGAATACTTAAATTTTTTAATTTAGTTTTATTAAGTTTTATTACTTACAATATATCAATTTATTAACAATTTTAAAAATGATTTATTAATTACTTTTATAATTAAGAAAAAAAATAAATATAAAATTAATAGAATAAAATATTACTAATTAAAGAAATTTTAATTAAACTCAAAATGATTTATAAAAAAAATGAACATATAAATAATATTTAATATTTTATATAAATTATATAAAATTAAATAAAACAAAAGTTATTTATCAAAATAAATAAGTAAAAAAAAAAATAATAATATTTTAACTAATAAATTTATATATAAATATATAAATACTTTAAAACTTTAAATAGATAAATCAAATCAAATAATTAATTTCAAATATATAAATCAGATCCAATCAGATTAATTTTTGATTATTGAAAAAAAAAATTTATCTTTTAATAATTAGTAATTTTTATTAAATAAATTTTACATATATTATATTATAAAAGTTTTAAATTATTATTTTAATATAATTAATATTTATAAATATTAATGTTATTTAATAAATAAAATTTACAAAAAATTGTAATTATTTCAATTTAATAGTATTTATTTTAAAATAATATTAAGATTTAACTAGTCAAAAAGATTTTTAATTATTTAGTTAAATAACTAAATAATTAAAAATGGTTAAATAGTAAATATTAATTTAGGTATATCATAATATTAAAAAATAATTTTTCTAATGCTTTTATTTCTCTTATACCCTCTAGGTGATAAATTTCGTTAAACTCTAACCCAAATTTTATAAATATTTTTTCTAAAATACGTCATGAATTTTGTTCAACTGCGGATTAATGTCATTAGATTAAATACTTCAATATGTCTCATTGTCACTTCACTTTTGCAGGAAAAGAATGGTGCACACATAATTGTTCATTCATAACAATTAAACAAGTAAGTGAGGAAATGGAATATACATCATGAATAGCACTTTCTGATATTGACACTTTATTGACAAAGCCGCAATTTAATAGAAAGAAACACAACAAAAAGACGATGTAAATGTTGTTGCTTCAACTTCTAAAGGAATAGAAGCAGAAGTTGTTCCTTTATCTTTTTCAAACTACTCTGAAGTTGTACAAAGTGAAAATGCTGACAAGACGAACAAATTACTTAATACAAATAAATTACTTGCTGTAGTACGTTCAAATGCTAAATTATCAGAAGAATTGTTGAAACTTTATAAAGCGGTGAATAACCTCAAACCAAAGACTATAGAGAATAATAACCGGCAGAAATTGATGGTTTCAAAGGTAAATGAAGAGGTAGTTTTAAATAATGATACGATCTTTACCTCACTTGATGAAGATGAGGATATGAATCCTTTGGATGAGCCTTCCTAGTCATACCCAAATCTGGCAGTAAGTGAATTTATACATAATTATTTAAAGTAGAATGATCAATGATTTTACCTTTAGTATAACTTAAATAAATTTCTACAGCGCGATATTTCAAAAATCAAAAGTACCAATAAAATACGTCAAATTAAAAGGTTAACGTTCGATCACTCGAATGAATTTATCATTTTTTTTTAATTGAAATATTTATGTCAATTAATGAAAGCAAGGAAAGAAATATATATAATTGATTTGATCATCCTCTGAGAGATCAAACTTTTATCCTAAAGACGCGTGATAATGCCATTTATTTATTGAAATCTAATTTATTCTTTTTCTTTTAAATTATATCAATGATTATTTATTTTTGTAATAATGTGGATAATTAGAATAGTAACCAACGTAAAATAAATTATATTTCTGAATCGATTTCCAATGAATTGATTTCCAAATCATCATTTTGATCATCCATTGTTCTCCAATTCTTTTTATGAGCCATCATTAAAGCCAAAATTACAGGTAAATGTACAAGACTACCAAAGAATAAATCTCTCGCAGTTTTATCATTAGAATTTCTCCAAAATCTAAATGCACCCCATAAAAGTCCAGAATTAATTATAGTCGAATCTAATGCGAACCACCAAGATGTCATTCCAATGTAAGGAATAATATAACTTAAAGGAAATAACAATAAACTATATCTTAAAGATACACGACTATTTAAAGAAGGATTTTTGACAACCATCATACGGTATCCAGCTTTAGCGTAGTCGTTACGCATGTTCCAAGCAAGCGCATTAAAATGAGGAAATTGCCACGCATATAAAATTGAACCTAATATCCATGCACCTAGATCCAAACTATTCGTACAAGCAGCCCAACCCATCATTGGAGGGATCGCGCCAACAACAGATCCAACCCATGTGTTTACAATCGAAACACGTTTCATAGGAGTATAAATGCAAGTATATAATAAGATATTAGAAAGTCCTAAAATTGCCGTTAAAGGATTTACCATGGTAGATAATATTCCAACCCCCGTTATTCCTGTTATTGTACCAAATGAAGTCGCATGTAAAGGTGATATTACTTTTCGTACAAGTACGCGATTCCTTGTTCGTGACATTTGTGCGTCATAAGATGATTCCATTAATTGATTAAATGTATTTGCTGATGCTATACATAGTCCCGTTCCTGCCGTTGTAGCGAAAAGACATGTGAGATCAGTTGCCATTGGAGCCATTGCGTAACCACACATTGTGGTTAAGATTACAAGAGCCGCAAGTCTGGCTTTTGCGAGATCTCTGTAAGTTCGAATTAATTTGGAAAAAGTTAAGGTTTGTGAGGAGATTTGCGTTATGTTGGAATTAGAATCGGATACTAAACGGTGAACGTTAGATGTGAAATTTATAACGGGTTTTTTATTGTTATCGTTACTTTCGTTATGAACTGGATGAGCTGTTGCTGCTGTTGCTGTTACATCCTTATGATGATGATTTGTTGTACTTTTCCAACGTTTATTTTGTATTATTGAAGAAATGTTATTATTACTATTATTATGTATTGATCGAATTTTTAATTTTTCAATTGAGTCGACTTTTTTAAATATTGTCCATGTTGAATAATAATCATTTAAAATTTTCCTTGTTGGACAATTTTTTTGATTTCTATTTACTATAAAAACATCCTTAATATTAAGAGATTTTGTTCGAAATTTGAAATATTGTAATATTGTATTTTTTAATTGTTGAGTCATTTTTCTTATATTAAAAAAATTTTTTTTTTTTTTAAAACAAAAAAATCGGATCAGATATGACTGAAAAAATTCGTGATAATCTATTGGTAAAATCAAAATCATATGGGGGACCCCCCGTCAATAAATTTTTTTTTTTTTTTACAAGTCGAAAGGAGACAAAAAAATATTCAACAAAGCATTAATAAAAACGAATTTTTTTATTTATGACTTGGGACATGTAATATCCTGAACGGTTCATCAACAAAAATGTTCTATAAATATTCTTGATTAAATTCTTCTTTCGCCTCTCATATCTTTTAAACAAAAAAAAAAAAAATTGCTGATACATTTAATTCTTTTAAATTAGGTTTTAATTAACGTTATTAAAGATAAGGTCAAGTTTTAAATTTCAAAAGTAAAATATTTATCAGAGGCATTTGCTGTTAATGAAATTTTCATTGCGATGTGAATTATTCCATCGCAAAGTTTGAAACCTTATAATTAAGTCGCATTCACAAGCGATCAGAATTGAAATGAAATTACTTCTGAATCATATCTCCAACTTATTTTCAAATACCAAATACTTAATAACAAACAAATTGTGCAATGAAAACTGAAATCAAAGAAATTCAAGTTTACCGCGCCAATAGAAACTTTATTTACATTATGAAATTATTTAATATACATTTACATTTTATCTATTACATTACACAATAATTGCTATTACCGTAATTATACGAAGGAACAATTGTACAACTCATATGACAAGACCAAAGA